AACAGGAACGGGACTGGGGACGCCGAGTCCCAGACTCAGTGGTCAGGACGCTGTGATGGAGCCTGTGCCTTCAGGCCACTCCTGGACCCGCTGGTAGGCGGGCTTCCAAATGCTGAGCCCCAAAACACCCGAGGCTCAGCAGTAAAACAACAGTCTGAAAACAAGGCACAGCAGATAGCAGTATCCAAAGTCCAAAGGGTACCCCATTAGAGCACCCACTGGGAGAGGGATGCCGACCGTGATATCGGTCAGCCGGGGAGCTCTCAGCTCTTGGCGAGAATGTGATCTCTGCAGCCTCCCGGGTCGGGCAGGCAGGACAGAGGAGTCTGTTCCGACTTCCTCGTTCTCCCCGTGTGCGGCTGCAGGGTTCCTCACTGACAGCCAAGACTTCGGAACACAAACTGAATGGGTATGTAACAAAATAACTGGAAAAAAATACTAAAAAAAGAATGCTGTGGGCAGCATGGGAACAGCTGTGTGTTTGTTGAAATCAATGATTTTCTTCCGGTCCTGAAAATGGTCCACTCTGTCAATAGTTTGCTTTTATTTTAGTATGCTGCATATTTTAATACAGCTTTCCCGTAGGGAAAAGGAGTGGCTGAGTGGAACAATTTAGCAAGCAATATCATAGCTGAACTCATGAGACTCTCTCAAGACGTGGTATAGTAATGCCCTGGGATGAATAAACTACTAGAAGCCACAAGTTTGAATGTACTTTGTTAGTAACCTCTCTCGCATTGTTCCTGCTACACTTGTAACCAGGACTCCAATCAAAAAAAAAATGCTCAGAGAGCTGATTTGTTCTTCCCAGAAACCTATCAATGTTGGCACATCTTGTGGAATATTTGCCTTAGGAGAGTTCTGCAGTACTCACTTCTTGCTTGCCTGTGCTGGCCTTGGGCTGGGACTGTCACAGGGCCTGTGTGTTGCAATGAGAGGTACAGATACCTCCTACTCCCCGCCTGGGGTGTGGCAAGCAAGGGCCTTCAGTAGCAGCACTCTGCAAAGGACAAGAAAAAGAGTCTTGTTTTGCTAGCGTTACTTTAGCTTCTGGCTAGTTGGCATTCTCAGCACTTACCAGAATGTTTGCCAAAATACTATTGAGTTAAAACACAATAGATTATGTGAACTATTATTTTTTAATAGACCTGATAAGTGGAGTGTATGTTTTTTTTTTTACCCTGCATAGCACTGCACCAGGCAAAAGTGAAAATGGTTCAAAACCATTCTGCAGCAGTCAGAAGCTGACAATGAGGGTTGTGTTACAAGGCTACTTTTATTGTCCTTCCAGGTGACAGTTTTAACTAATTTGTGCGTTTGAGATCGGTAATATTATTGAAACAGCTTTTGTTCAGACTTTTTTTTGTGCCATTTCACCAAAACTCTCATTAAAATCTCACCATTATAGGACTGTTTCTTTTTCAAAACAAACATTATGCATCTTCAGAATTTGTAACTGCCAGCTCTGATTTGGATAAAAACATCTTTCAGTGAATGAAGTGCACTTTGAAACATCTAAGAGGATTGAAATGTCTGTCTTTATTTGAACGTACAGTAAGAACAGATGCTTTTGATTTTTTTTTTTTACATCTTAAACGGGTTCCTGCATACTCCTCTTAGTTTCAGGGTCTGGTGAATTATTGCCCAGAGTATTTGAGTGGGTAAAATGGACTTGCTCCCCGTTCCTTTGATACAGGCGTGAAGTCTCACGTTTTCACAGAATGTACTGTAGAATTTCAGTTACACGGCCAGTGGCAGCTGCCCTCTCGATGTGCATGGCTGACCTAAATGCTGGGTGCACCCCAGCTGGAAGGCGCCATGCAGAGGAAACAGTGATGTCATCCCTCTGCCTGGAACACTGAGTTCTGTGTGGTGTGCTACGTGCCTGTGCTGCACTGTACCTACAGCAGCACAAGAGGTTCTCTCCTTCTGCATCTGCCCCCTGCTCTTCCTGCTGGCCCTATCACAGCTACTCTTCCAAGCAACACTCTCAGCTGGGTAAACATACAGTAGGTTCCATTATCGCAAAGGTCTTTTGAGGAAGCAGCTGGTACCTTTTCAGGACGACTCTGTCCTTGTTCTTCACTCTGTTATGTCTCCAGCCCTCTTATCTCCCTCTATGTCCTGTCTCGCATGGTGCAGTTTACCCCTTGGCAGACTGATTTAAAAGTATTTCCAATCTGTGGGAATAAGGCCAGGGGTATAACTGATGTAGTTTTGAGAAGGTGAAGTCAGTGTATAGTGCCCTCATCCGCAAGAAGATGGACCATCTAGCCATTTTTACTAAATAACAAATCATATAAAAAATATACAAATGTACATTAGGTGGTGACCAATAAGATTATCACCTTTTTAAAAAACACTAGAAGTCAATTGTTTATGGTGCATGTTGAATAGCAAAAACAACACAAGCAGAATAAAATCCTGAAAGGATGTTGCATTCTCTGCCATGGTTATTAGTCCCAAATGTTCACCAATCTTCCAGCTCTAAAACCATTCCACTTATCAGATGTCATGATCTTGTCCTAGTTTGTATGCACAGCTCCTGTGAAGAAGTAGAACCCTTTATTTCCTCTCTTGGGTCACCTGTGTTCATGGAGCTTGCATGATTTTGACGATCTTCCTTTTAGCTGTAGTTCATCATTCAACACAGAAAGTGGAGGGATAGAGAATGTTAATTATTTTTCCTGTTTTGTGCTCTCATCTGCCTTCAAGCAGCTGTTTATACCAATTTCATTTGGTATATTCCAATTTCATTTGGGATAGACTCTGGTACTCTAAGTGTTTAGTTTATATCATACTTTTTAATAATTCGATGCAGGTGTTTCAAGTTTTAATAATTCTACTGAACTGTTGGAAATTAACTGATATTTTCTTACTTATACTATTCTGTCTTTTTAATTTTTTATGAATTGCTTGATGTTAGCCTTGAACATTAGTGCTATACTTTCTGCAAACATTAAGAACATTTCCCATAAGGCTGAAAAAGGTTAACATAGATTCTCTGAAACACATCAATACTCTTTGATGAGATTAGATCTCGAGAAACAGGTTAATCGATCAGAAGTACCACTGTCTGCACTGTATCAATGCATGATCTTTTCTGTTTAGGCCACAAACGGTTACTGTTGGTCAGTAAGGCACATACAGGATAATGTTGCAGCAAACCTTGCTGCTCCCTTATCATCTCACACATGACCTCTGTTGAAACTAGCCATAAATTCATTAATGCACAGGTGACTCACGTCTCTTGCTAAAGATCATGACAAGGGTTCCCGTAAAGTGTTGTAATAACCAAGATTGCACAAGCACCGCTAAGTACTTAACATCTCCAATTCTCCTTTATTCAAATTGTTCAAGTTACTTGCCTACAGAGGTGATCAGGGTTGTGTGTTTGCCCTAGCTAACGAGTCCTGCAGTCAGGAACGTATGGTTACTGTTCCTGCAGATTTATTCATTTATGCATAGGAGCGTCAGTGACGCCTTTAGTCCACCTTAGGACAGGGTTATCCCAATCCTGGTTCTGAAAGGCCAGTGCGTCTGCAGGTTTTCAAAATCTCTTTAAAGAAGCACCTACAGAAGATGTTCAATTAATCCAGTTAAAACAGCAACTAGCTGGTTTGTTAAGAGCAGAGAGGGAATGAAGACCCATAGATGCACTGCCATTCTCAGAATGAACAGTGAAACATAAACCAGAGCACACAAGGTGAAACATGGAGGTGCATTTAAAACCAAGAACTCGAGGTGCATCTTTTGGAACAAAATACCCAACCACACCGCTGAAGCCAGAATCGTGGTTTCTTTCAAGAAACAGATAAATCAGTTACCAACTACCAAACGGGCTAGATTTGCCTCTTTTTGGCTGTAATCTTATATTCCCATTTTGTCATTTATACTGCATTTTCCAAAGTCCCCTCTCATCTTTTCCTCAAGCTTGTTCAGTTGATGAAGTAATTCTTCACAGGCTTTTGATACAACAGGTACATAATAGGGATTACCATTTCTGATCGTATATAGTGTTAGTTATTTAAAAAAATACATTTTAATGTAGCATGAATGTGTAATGTGTAGAAGCTTTTTACTTAAATAACAGGGCAATAATATCACTCATTTGCAGCCTGTGTTCAATTAATCCCATGATTTATCCCCCTTCATCATATCTTTCAGAAGATTACCTTCTTAGTTCTCCAAAAGGTGTGTAGAATGCAATAGAGAACTCTTGACCAAATGTTTTAAAAAGGAACACGTCTGACCTCTAGAGGCTAGTCTGTGTAAGTTCTGCACTTGGAACCTTTATTTACCTTAGATTCTTTCAATCCATTAATTAGTGATTGGCTCCTTAATTGTCTAAGTCATCTGGTGTTAAATCACTTCTGCAATTTGAGATTATCTAAACTAACACATTAAAAGAATAATAAAAAGAATAATTTCTTCCACTTATACAGCGCTCATCTGGACACTCCATTCAAACAGCTTTACAGGTAATGGGGATCCCCTCCACCACCAATGTGCAGCCCCACCTGGATGATGCGACGGCAGCCATAGTGCACCAGAACACTCACCACACATCAGCTATCAGTAGGGAGGAGAGCAGAGAATGAAGCCAATTCATAGATGGGGATTATTAGGAAGCCATGATTGGTAAGGGCCAATGGGAAATTTAGCCAGGACTCCGGGGTTACACCCCTACTCTTTTTGAGAAACACCCTAAGATTTTTAGTGACCACAGAGAGTCAGGACCTCGGTTTTACATCTCATCCGAAGGACAGCGCCTGTTTGCAGTCCCCGTCACTATACTGGGGCAACAGGGCCCACACAGACCACAGGGTGAGCGCCCCCTACTGGCCTCACTAACACCTCTTCCAGCAGCGTCCTTAGCTTTCCCAGGAGGTCTCCCATCCAGATACTGACAGCAGCTCACATCTGCTGAGCCTCTGTGGGTGGCCAGCTGTGAGTTGCAGGGTGATAGTAAGCAAACGAAATGCCACGCAAGTACAGAATATGGAACAGCTTTGCCCTAGTTGCACATTTTATTCTTTAAAAAAATAGAAAAATAACAGAAAGTAAACAAGAAGGAGCTCAGAGTAATCCCTGTGACGGACCCTTGCCTGCGATTTTCTTGGAGCACTCGAGCAGAGCATTGTGAATGTCTTTCGCGCAGGAGATCTGGGACTTGATCATGCTGAGGTACTGCGAGTAGGACAGGCTTTCCGTCTGCACTGTGTCTGGCTTGGTCGCCGTGGGAACCAGGTTGGGGGAGTGCTTGGCGCTGTCAATGCTCTGTGAGAGGCATTCGTAGGCCAGTCGCTAAAAGAGACAGAGTTTGCATTCAAAGGGAAGAATTTTTTTATTTTTTTTTTGAAAGGTAAAATTATTCAGTGGTACCATTACAAGACACTATAATCCACGGTAACAGAGATAGGGAGAAGACAGCCCTGGTCTTGCATTTTCCAAGACAAATAATTCCAGAAAGATTCAAATCACTGTAGTGTACCTTTACACGTTCAAATAACACCCACCATGTTTTAACACCCGAAAGGCTGTCTTGTTTAGGGAGTCTGAAACAGCAACGTGTCACTCATTTGCCCACTGCCCCTAGACCACGTTTGTGTTTTGGCTTTTTACAGTTTAGAGTGGTCAAAGGAGTTAAACTGTCAGGACAAATGCTCAACATGAATTGACAGGAGGTATCGAAGCAATACAATATTGAAGAAGTTCTGAACTCACCAGGCACAGTTCCAGCTGGTCACAGAGGGCATAGAACTCTTCCAGGCTTTTGTCAAATCTCTGCACAGAGGCATCACTACTCTTACTGAAGACAAAAGTAGAGACAGTATTGCACATGACTGTAAGGCTTTTAAAGGCCAAATTCTGAAAATACTGTAGCTTAACTGTAGTTTTGGAGACCAATTGCAAGCAGGACATTACAATAGTCTGTGAAAAAAAACATTCAGATGTCAGTTGTTTTTTTTTTGCTGGCAGTCAGCATAAATGCAATATTCTAAAATAAAATAACTTTTCAATTCTCCACACTTCATTTCAGGTTAGGTGTAAACCCAGGCTCAAAACCCATCCCTACATAAATCATTTTAGAATGAAACTCACATACAGAGATGTAAATGGGTAAGGTTACAGCACTGGTGTTAAGTACCTTAATTGTATGACCTCTTGATAAGACCTCAGTCTTATCATAGTTAAAATGAAAACAATTGTATCAGAAATAAAAGCATTGAAACTGCAGACCCAATATTAGGTTTAACTTGGTATAGATCTGAGTATCACCTGCACATGAAAGACAATTCATATACTTTTAGTATTACATACTAAATAGCAAAGGTCCAGGAATTGAAAAATGATTTTCCTTAGCTTACTACTGAAACTCTTTGAATGATTACATGAATTTTGTGCATGATCACTGGCTAAAGAAAAAAGATGTGTACAGTTGTGTACTTACACGCCATTGTCAATTGCAGTATTGTGTCCTAAATTGAGCGATGCGATCTTCATGACGTTCTAAAACATTTAAAAAAAAAATTAAAGTCGGTCAACAAAACTGCAGGTAGGGATGAGAAATGTACATAAGGGATGACGAAAACTGAACACAGGTTAAAACAGGGGAGTTATACTTATTAAAGATAAAGTGACAGTACTATAATGTTTTGTAAGCTGATTTTTTTGGTCAATTTTATGTTTATTTTTCGCACAAATTGCATTTTAATTACAGCTGCATATATGCCGTTGTATATACTTCAGTCCGGCTGCAGCTATGATTACACACAATTCAATGGTCGTCTTAATGTCAGAGGTCTCTCGCACTACTGTATTTGCTCCCAAGACATTCCAGCTTTCACTTGCAAATGAATGCAAATTAAAAAACGGCACTACGCCTAACATGTTAAAGCATATCTTTTTATTTAGAAATATCTAGCTCAGATGTATGTCTTTGTATGTCTATCAGTAGCTCTCTAAACCGGCTACCGATTTTTTGCACTTACACTGTTACAACTGCCTCTGCAAAAAATCCGTTCACTAAAACCCTTCAAGATTTCTTGTATGACAGCTACCTTAAATCTAAGCACCTTCAATGCACAGTTAAAAATTAGGATTCAACATTTTAACCGCTTGATCGATTAAGGACAACTGTACCTGAAGACTCTCTTTCAACTGCGGAATGAGCATTTTGAAGCGATGAACGGGATCGAAGTCTTGCTGTTGACTCAGCTGCTGCTGCTGCTGTTGCTGTTGTTGTTGTTGTTGTTGCTGCTGTTGTTGTTGTTGTTGCTGTTGTTGAAGGGTGGGCGCCTGGAGCCCCGATTGGACTTGAGGTCCACCAGCCTGAGACATTTGAGGTTGTTGTTGCTGAGATGCCATGTTGAGAACCTAATTCGCTTCCTGTTTCATCAACGAGGCTATGACAACACCGGAATTTATCCGAGGGAGATTTGTTCGCAAAGGATTGTTGGTTTTGTAGTCTTAACTGAAAGCATGCTAAACTGAGACCAATCATTTTAGTAATAAATCTGTTTTAATAGAATCTGCACAGTAGTTCATATCAATGAACAGAAAAATGCATATCAATGTAAATAAATATATGTGTTGCAAGAAAGAAGAGCCGATAAGCACGACGTTTAATATGGAAAGGCGCTCACAAGCCCGCCTGTAAAAAATCATGTTATTTTAGAAAACAGAAATGGAAATTCATCCATTAAATAAGCACAATAAAGTGAGAAACCTGATAAATACATGTCTCTTTTTTTTAAATAACATGTTAGCAGTCTTCTTTTCTTCAGCTATTTGTGTTCAGGCACTCGTATCGCCGACCTGCCTGGAATGTGTTCGGGGTCCTCCAGACGCGGAGAATAACGAGGGTGAGAAGCGGGGTAGAAGTCTAGTTACTTCTCCTACTTTCCCGTAGCGTAAATTTATCATAAGGAAAAAAAAAATCTTATTTTTGTAATACAAGGTAGTTAATCGGATATATTGCACCACCTTTTCGTCGTGAGACTGCGGCAGAAATGGCCCCAACCATCCAAACTCAAGCGCAGCGAGAGGATGGTCACAGGTAGGTAACAGCGCAACGTACTGTTTATGTTTATTTGTCTTTCTTGTACAGGACACCTGTGTACCAAGAGAAGTAGACTCTTATTGAGTCTTATAAATAGTCCAACTATGTAAATCCCTCAGATCTCAAAATCGCCTAACAGATCAATGGTTTTGGTTAAACTTCGTGTTGTCTGGCGCGGTTCTGTCGTGAAAATACCGCGTTAATAAACAAAACACTAGACAACGGCTGTTGATGTCATCTGGCATTTGTAATGCTCTGTGCTTTTAGGTTGTCTTTGCTGGTTTACGAAACAACTCAGTGGAACATGTTGCCGCCAGGGCATAAACTTTATTATCTTTTCGTTTCACGACAAAGTCAACAGCGAAAGAGTGAAATAAGTAGATTACTGGAGCCGATGCCTCTAAAAAGTGAAAGACAAGATCCGTTCAGTTTTGTCAGTAAACGTCATAGTATGACATTGAAACAGTAGTTTGACAGTTTGACATGACTTTCGTAATGTTTTCTTTTGACAGAAGCAGCTCTCACAGAACTGTCCCTGAGAGGTAAGAACCGCGAGTCTCACTTTAATATTTAACTTGATCCTGAAATTGGAATTTCCCGTAATTGCAGAGGGACAAAAAATATTTTTGTCACATTTTCCATTGCTGATTTCCCATTTTAGAAACTGATATTTTAGCTCATCCTAGACGTAGGTATTAATTGCATTGCTTTTGTTTAACAGACGATGTAACGCCATGAAGTGGCACAGTACGTTCTCTCATCTTTGCATGTGTTGGATGGCCTGAGCCATTCATTGCTTTCATGGTGTAATTCATTTGCCTCTGTACGTGAAGCTGTTGTCAAGCTCTTCTTTTATAGAGGAAAGCTCGTTTGTCTTTTGAGGTTCTTACTCACCAGTTTGTGTTTCTAATTCCTACAGGTCAGGGGTCATCTGTCGGGTGAAATACTGCAACAGTCTCCCCGACATCCCCTTTGACCCCAAGTTCATCACTTACCCTTTCGACCAGCACAGGTAAGGTGCCCGATCTGCCTTTCCCTTTGCAGGGGGTCAGTGGGCAGACAGAGCAGACATTTAGCACATCATCTGGTGCCCTGAAGTAACTCCCCAAAACACAAGCATTCGGATTTCTCCTCTTCAGCTTGTAATGAACAGTTTCTGTGTGGGTAACGCTGGAAATGCATGTCTCTGTGGTTCTGTGAGGATTGAAGAAAAAAACCAATGACACATGAAAAGCTGCTGCCAGCCTGAAAGCCATGTTTTTCATTTCTTGTTGCATCTTGTCATAACTTCTTCCTGTTTCTCACAGCCAAATGCGTTTATTTAATTTGGCCTTTGCTTTTACATTGAGAAACTAGTTACAAGTATAAACACACTTTGGTTATTTTAAATCTTACACGGGTGTGCTTGGTGTTAGTGTGCTACGATTCTACACAAGTGTTTTGTAATTATGTGCAGTTGGTTTAAAATTTAAAAAATGGTTTCACACTGGCATCCAAATCACACCAAAGGTATTTGCCAGACATAAAAAAGTTGGAGTTAAAGAAGTTGCATGCATGACTTATGTCTGCAGTCATAGTACAGTGCTACAGTATTTTTTATGAGTCACATGCTCAGAAATTAGTTATTTCCCTGGGTTCTCGTTTCTGAAGAAGGTTTGCTTGGTCTCCGCAGGTTTGTGCAGTACAAGGCCACTTCGCTGGAGAAGCAGCACAAGCACGAGCTGTTGACAGAGCCTGACCTGGGAGTGACCATCGACCTCATCAACCCCGACACCTACAGGATAGACCCCAACAGTAAGGCAGTGTTACTTGACCTTGTACTGAAATCTGAAACATGACACAATTGTTATTTGCACCTCTCATAGCTTAGTGTTTAGTGTCTGAGTGCTTGTTATTCTTTCTATTTCCTAACCTGTATGTTTAGATGTATTTGGTATTCCAATTCCTGTTTCTTGCAGAGTACGAGTAAAGCGGTTATCTTAATCACCTGTTTTCACCATCTTCTTTCTGGCGGAAATGGTCTAATTTGTTCTTTTTCACTGAGCAGGAAAGAGTTGCATAGGGGTGGGGAAAGACCTGTGGAAAAGAAGAAATGGTCATTTTAAAATATCACTCAGTGTAACATTATTTGCTTGCTCTTCCATTTGATGGGATGCTTTCTAACGTCTGTTGCAGCTCTCCTGTAAACAATGTCATTTTTGTTTCATTAAGTCATTCTGGACCCCGCTGATGAGAAATTGCTGGAAGAGGACATTCAAGCTCCTTCAAGCTCCAAACGGTGAGGATTTGCTGTCTGTTTCAACAGGTTACATCCCGCAAAGGGGCTTTGACACTCCTGTCTGTGGATGAGGAGAACTAACCAGGTGAACTTGCCAGCTATGTGTAGATTAACTGTGGCAATGACAAGGTATATCTGAATAGCAAAGGTACACTACAGGTAAACAAATATTTTACTAGTCTGAAACCTATTTTAATGATGATGATGATGATTTTCGCCTCTTCAAGGCAAGTCTAAATGAGAGCCTATTTTTGCTTCTCCTTTGACCTCTTCACTATGAATTAATCTGTACTTAAAACAAATACTGCTGTATGTTCTGGTAAAATGGAGAAAACAAAAGCAGTGGGGAGGTGCTTTTAAACATCTGAGCACACTTGTAGCAAGGTCCCAATCATTGGAAAGGATGATCACTTGTGATTTTAGGTATTTGCTATGTGTGAATGATTTGTGTGATTTTCTTTTTTTTACTGCACCGGGCTTCAGTGTGTTATTTTAAATCTGATGAGAGGTGAGCAGTTGGGCAGTTCTGTCAGTGTACTTCCATGAACCATGTTAAATGTATTGCATGAAATGGATTTCTCCTTCCAGGTCCCAGCAACATGCCAAGGTTGTTCCTTGGATGAGAAAGACAGAGTACATCTCTACCGAGTTCAACCGATATGGGGTCTCCAATGAAAAAGTGGAAGTCAAGTAAGTGGATTGTAGCTCGATGAGCAGGGTTCTGTTCAGTTTGACCTGTGCTGCTGTGCTTAAAGTGCAGCCAAGCAGCATTGTGGTAAAGTAAGCACCTGCTGTTACAGAGGTAACCCTGCCTGTTTCACAGCTGTCTCCCTCTATGTGTGTTCCCAACACCTTTTCCAAGTCTTCTTTTCAGCCCTTCCACTACTTCCCCCTCTGTGGACTTCTCTGTCCCTCCACTGTTTAAATTCTTATTGTTTTTATCATCTTTCAGCACTTGCATTGGACTTATAGTTTGTGCTGGTTTTATCATTTTATTAATTCTTTATAAATGTGTTACTCAAATTTTACAGTTTGTAATATGTGAGTACTACATAACTAACTTGACAAAACAAAACTATAACAAAATGATGTTTTACATACATGATTTGAAATACATGTGTAGTGCAAGTTCACTTTTGTATTTCTGATTATATGTCATTTTAACTGGACATTTTTTCTTTTGGTCAGACAAATCTGATATAGCCATATCATTCTGGTGTAAAATGATCTTGCTAACTTAAACTGAAAAAGAGAAAAGATGCCAGGAGAGGTCTTTGATCTGAGTAGTTTAGACATCAGATCGCTGATGCTGTTCTGTTTTTTGTTCTGAGTTTCGTACTGCTATCTAGACAGAGTACCTGTAAGCATTAACAAGGGCAGCGCCTGGATTGTGTGCGTCTTCTGTCCTGTTGCTGATTCACTGTTGCATTTTTACTCCTCAGGATTGGAGTGTCAGTCAAACAGCAGTTCACAGAGGAGGAGATCTACAAGGACAGGGACAGCCAGATCACAGCTATTGAGAAGACCTTCGAGGATGCTCAGAAAACAGTTAGTAATGAGCATGGTGCCACTACAATAGCCAGAAAGAGACCAGATGCAGTAGTTAGGCACTGCGGTGTATGATTTTATTAGAGCACTGCTTTACTTTCTAGTTTTGAGTCTGTATAATGGAATCATGCATGTCACTGCAGACACAAATGAATTCATAAATGAATAATAGGAATATGATTTGCTGGGTGACACCAATTTTGTCTTAATTTTGCAACCATGCAGCTTGGTTAATCTCTGCAAAGATGCAATGTTTTGTAGTATTATACTGCATTACATTATTTGGTATAACTGAAAACTAGAAAAACTTAATGAATTAATACTGAATATTATTGATCATCTTATTATAGGATACAGGTAGCTCATTTAAAATGTTCAAGTTAAATTAAGACGTAACTACAACTGATATAAAGCATGGAACAGGCCAGTTTGGGAAACACCACTTGGAAAGAATTAGGATTGGCTGTCCTGGTCTTCCTCAACTTTGTGGCAAAGCAGCAATTTTTGTGTAACTTGAAGGGCACTGCAGTCTTGCACAGATTTACCACATCACCTCTAAGTGCTGAATCTCCTGTAGGAAATTGTGGAGCTCATGTGCATCTTACAAAACGAATGTCTGTGCGGGGGGGGGTTTGTGAAAGCTGCAAGCATGTTCAGTTTGAGCTCTCACCTCTAGAGCTGGAAGAAATGGAATGAAAATCACTGAAACAAGATTATCTTTATATGCTGTCTAACATCGTAATCAAAATGAAAAATACCAAATTCTAATTTTTTTTTTTCATTTTTTAAACAAAAAGCAGGAATGGGATTTCTTTAGGACTTTGGCTTTACCCAATAGATGGAACATCACATTAGCTGAAAGATTCCTATGTTTAAAAAGACTTTTTTTTACAGATTGCTCAGCACTACAGCAAGCCCAGAGTTACACCTGTTGAGGTCCTGCCCGTATTTCCTGATTTTAAGGTAAAGGTGGTGAGATGGCTTTGCTGTATGCATTGAACCAGTGATGCCATCTGGTTATGCTGACATTGTCCAGATTTTGTACTGATGTGCAAGAGTTACTGATATCCACTGAGGTTTTCCGAGATCATCAGATTTAGGCAAGAGTTGGATTTTAGCTCTGACCCCCAGATCTGAAAGGTTTGTGAACATAATTGCTGTAACAAAATAATTTTTTGATTCATATAGTTTAAACAAAACATGATCAAATATGGATTCTGAAGGCTGTTCTGCATTTCTTTAAAGGTTCACCGTAAGAATGTTTACACACAACATCTGTAACAGAAGGCACAAACTCGAAAGAACAGTGTAAATCGGGGAAAGAAAACATTTCTTTCAAATGTTGAAAGAAAGCAACAAATTGAAAGGAAGTTAATTGTGCTTAAGTCAGATTTGTAAATCTTTTTTACTGTTAATTAAGGCTTAGTCTGTTAGATTTTTAATTGGAATTCAAACGCTTGATGTCACTCTCAAGAGGTTTAGTTGTGTGCATTGTACCCGTTTATCAAGTGAGGCTGTCACCTTTCTCTACAGATGTGGATAAACCCATGCGCTCAGGTCATCTTTGACTCTGACCCAGCTCCCAAAGACACATCTGGAGCAGCTGCAGTGGAGATGATGTCTCAAGCCATGATCAGGTGCGATATCTAGGATCTGTAAAGGGTTAATATTAAGCCTTGCCTTCCTTGTCTTATATGGGATGATGGTGCTTTTGTTCCAAAGTGTGGCCTCTGTCCTCTCTTCATGTCAATTGATTATACAGTATCTGCTTCATCTACAGAGAAGAGTCTGAAACAATTTGTTATGCTCTGCCAAATGTTGATTTTCTAACTCAAATTCTAATTCCTCAGGTGGTGTTATAAATGGTGGTCAGTCATTTACAGTATGTCTTAGGTTCTGCTCCATTTTTTGTGCTTTTCAGAGAAAATAATTTGAGCAACAAATTGATTTGATTTGTTCCTTGAAACCTTAACAGCATTTTAATTTAAAGATTTCTTTTCTCAACACATGAAACCCCATTGATTTAAAAATTCCAAGATATATACCGTATTATGTTTTTCTTTTAAAGTTGTCCTCAGCGTTCAACAGAATTTAGGAGCATAGACTACGCTGGCATGTAAAATATTAGAAGTAGAGAAATTCACAAAGTAGATTTCCATGTGTAAAGTAAAAAAAAAAAATAAATATCTGCAATCCCTACACAAGTTCTTTGAAAACATGTGCTATCTGGCATCTAACATCACTCAGTTAAGTTTAATCAGGTTATCCCTGTTAGATTGGTATTAACATTTTTCCTCACCGTTGATGCGTATCATTTATTTTACATACTGTACCTATCCAGTACTATTGAAAAATGAAGGGCCTTTTGAAGTATCAGTTCCACTGGTCCTAATAATCAGATAATTTGAACAATTTAGTGAACTGTCAACGCTGATGGATTCTGAAACCCCGGAACATGAAAACTTTCAAAATTCCTGGGTCCTATTGTAAGCCGGTGTCCTTCTCTCCCACCCAGGGGTATGATGGACGAGGAGGGTAATCAGTTTGTGGCCTACTTCCTTCCCAACGACGACACCATGCGCAAACGCAAGAGAGACTTCGAGGAAGACCTGGACTACAGCCCCGAAGAAGTGTAAGAAAATGAAAAATGGCTGCAGGCATTTTTGTCTTTTATTTAAATTATGTGAATATATTGCCGTGGCCCTTGGTCACACCTGCAACTGTCTTATTTGAGTTTGCATCACTCTCAGGATGATAATTTAAGGCGCTGGACTAACAAATGGGAGGTTGTGTGTTCAAATGCCAGTTGGCGTGCTGCACCCAGTATCCCTCCCAGCTGTACAAATGGGTACAAAAGTAAATTGGCTTGGATAAAAGTCTCAGTCGCATAATTACCATCCCTTCCATGTTTTTAAAAAATGGAAATGAATTGGTTCCAGTACTTGTAGTCAGAATTTAATACTTTTAGCACGCTTTGATTCTTCTGTTTCAGTTTCTGAAAGAAGCGGTCGGCAAATGATAGAATTTCACAATGTACTTGAAGAGTTCCTCCTATAGAAGATCAAACCAACTGAGCTGATGTAACAGCTGTGCTTTTCTTGGGCCTGCAGGTATGATTACAAGATCGCCAGGGAGTACAACTGGAATGTGAAGAATAAGGCCAGCAAGGGTTACGAGGAGAATTACTTCTTCATCTTCAGGGACGGAGATGGAGTCTATTATAACGAACTGGAGACCAGGTCAGCGAGCGCCTTCACTCAGAGTTCTTGGCACCTGCACTGTGCTTGATTGCCGAGCATCAGCATCAGCTAAATCAGCCAGTTGGCTGTTTGTTATCTGGGGGCCTCGTGCAAGCTGAGGAGCCTGAAGGATAAAACGAAAGGGAAAAAAAACTACATTAACAGCATATTTTCGAGTGTACGTGCCTACACCATGTGTGAGTGCTTGAGTACGTTGTGTGCCCACTGCTTACTTGCATAGCTGCTAATAAGAGATGGTAGCAAAATGCATTGTGTGCGATTTATATCTGAAGTTACTTTATGTTACATTACATTGTACTTGAAATGCTACAGTATTGACACACACCCGCGTAACTTAAAATTTGACTGAAAGGATAAGAGCACAGATGATGGCTGGTAGGCGCAGGAATCTCTGTGTGTGGATGAAGAGAGTGCGCTCACGATCCAGGCTGATAACGTTGTAACTGCAGTGGCTCAGCTCTCTGACCCGAGGCGCTGTCTTACAGGGTGCGTCTCAGCAAGAGGAGGGCGAAGGCTGGAGCCCAGTCCACCACGAACGCAGTGCTGGTGGTCAAGCACAGAGACATGAATGAGAAGGAACTGGAGGCTCAGGTGAGTTTTGTGGGGCGCGTTTCTTGGGGCATCCGCAGTTATGGGGAGTCCTTGTCGACTTTGAATTGGCCATAACATCCTTGTACGTGACGGTGTCTTGCAACAGTGCTCCTCTATGACATATTCCTGTTTCTTTATGATCTCGACAGCGCTAGCCAAACAACTACTGTGAGAATGTCTTCCCTATACATCTAACTGATCTTGCATGCTTTTGTAAATCAGCATCGTTTTCAGTCACTTGGTGATTTTTTTTTTTTAAACAAAGAAAAGCTGTGTTCAGTGCGGTGTATCCTCTCTGTCCCACAGGAAGCCCGGAAAGCTCAACTGGAAAACCATGAGCCTGAAGACGAGGAGGAGGACATGGATGTGGACAAGGACACCCAGGATTCTGGTGAGCCTCCTACCACTGGCTCTTGGGTGTTTCCACTTCTGTTTTCGCTGTACAAGATGCTGTGCTGAAGTATCTTCTGGCAGGGAATTTTAATAATTGTCTTATAACTGTCTTCATTAAATGATGACCATTTTTTTTATTTTTATGACAGTATCTTTTTGGTCCTTCTCATTTGATAGCACTATGGAGATATTTTTATAATACTCTCACAGATTCTAGTCATTCAGAAATGTTTGTGCATTTAAAAAAAAAAAAAGAAACCCGAACATAGAACCAACAGATGCCTTCTGAGGCCTGGGGTGATCCCAGAACGTTACCGTGCGCGAGCACGCATGTGGCGCTGACCTCTGACCCCGGCATTGCGCTGCTCCATCTGGTGCAGGTGACGAGAAGGACAAGGGCAGCGAGAGCTCGGGCAGCGAGAGCGAGGAGGAGGACGAGGAGGCGGGGGGCCGGGGCCGGCGGGACGAGGACGAGGAGGGCAGCCAGCCAAGGAGGAGGAAGGCCAGCGGCAGCGAGAGCGACAGCGGCGACGACCGGCAGGCCAGGGAGGCGCGGGACGAAGAGGAGATCTTCGGCAGCGACGACGACAGCGACGACGAGGCTAAGAATGACAACCAGAGCAGCGGGGAGGAGGGCAGCGGAGACGACGAAGACGACGACGAGGACGAGGAGGAGGAGGAGGAGGAGGAGGAAGGGGAGGGGCGGGCCCGCAGTGCCTCCCCCGCCCACAGCAGCAGCGAGCACTCGGACGGGGAGCAGCAGAGTGCCAGCGGGAGCGAGCAGGGCTCCGAGTCCAGCGAGGGCAGCGACAGCGAGTGAGCGGGCAGCCGGCCTTGCTGGCCTTGCTGGCTCCGAGGCTGCGTGTCCGCCGGGGCCCCGGCTCGGGGGCCGCGGGGAGACTGCTGAGCAGCACACTGGCCCAGCCCAGCCAGCCGCTGCTGGGGACTCCAGCTCGTCTTTTAAGCTCGTTTACGGGGGTCGATTTTCAGATCAGTGCAGACGAGAAGAAACTTCTCTTTGGCACAAATGTCAGTTATTCTTTTTCATTCCGGCCCCCTGTATCTGTATATATATTTTTTTTGTTGATGACTAGTGATCGATGACTGATGACGGAATCACTTCCCCAAAGTATTTTTTTTCTTTGTTGACGAGTGAGGTTTTTTTTCAGATCATGTTCTATCCCCCCCACTGTACAATATTAAATGAAAATACTTCCCTTTGAAATATTTGTTTTTTTTTTCTTTTTACTCTGTCCGAGTTCATCACAGGAGAAATTCAGCCTCATTGCCGTAATGTTGACAACAGATCTGGAAACAGAAACTGAAAAGGCACCGAAAACAAAAGAATTCTTGACATCACCACACAGAAATAGCTATAATTGTTTTGAGTTTGATTTTTATAGCATGGGGAGAACAATAAATGGTTTCTACCCACTGGCAGCGGAGAGTCAGATGAGAAAGTCAGAGAAGGACTGCTCTGGGACCAGTTGATGGGTCTCAGCTGGTGAAGCCCCAGGTAAGACAGAAGAATTTGCAAGCTTTATTGACCCTAAGGTACCTCTTAATTTAATGGAGCTGATCTTAAGATCTCCATCTGCCAAAAAACGAGTCTACTTTTAAAGATTTGGACTAGTCTTAATGAAATCTGATTTCTATTTATAAATATGCTGTTATATAAACTAGGAACATAATTAAAAGACAGTAAGTCCAATCTTAAACCAGGCTTTTGCAGGTGTACTTTGTTTCTTGAACCTGTATGCTTGTCTGTGCTCTTTTATATTTTGGAGGGAGAGTTTGAGTTTTTTATTTCCAAAATGTCTTCATTTTGCTAGGATAGTTGAAAGGTATTCCTACCTGCCATGTTTTAACCCATTGGCGTAAAAACGCAGACGATCGCAGAAAAGGATCTTTGAAAAACACGAAATGTGCGGCACACCTCTTTGCAAGGCTTGCAGACCTTTTAAAGCCACAAGGTTATTTTGTTTTTATTGGAGGAAAGTGCAGACCTAAATTTACAAGTGTATTTCTGGAAGCACAGGCGTTCTTACAATGCGTCTGTTGTGATGTATATCAGGTCGGGACATTTTTTCTTGGTGGGTCTCGGTCAGTTTTCCCACCCTCCACAGTGGAGAACAAAGAAGGTCTTCATAGCGTTGCTTACCTTTACACGTGCCCGTTCGGGAATGTTATTGTTGGCTGTTCGAAATTGCTGTGAAAGCATCCTTTCTTGTTTGGAAGTGTCCGAAAGCCAAGGTCATTTTTCCCCACGCTCAGCATTGTAAGATTAAAAACATCTTGGATATGTAATTGCAAAATAGTCAAAAGTTGTTACACGAGGGCTCTGTCTTTTGCTGTGTGACCCTTTGTCTACTGCTTCCGAGTTCTGTTACTTCACCTGGTTTACCTTTTAGATTGGTCCTTTGCAAATTCATCTGAGGGGTTAAATGACGATTCTTTTAATATCTGTGTAATGTCATGCTACGACGGTGGGACTCGGAGTGCGATCCAGGAATGTTAGGAGCCCACTTGCTGGATGAACGGGCTGCCCACGAACTGTACACAGGGAACGGCCAGAGCTGCAGGGAACACTCACTCTGGGGGTGAGGAGCAGGCCGCTTGCGGATTTGCTCGCAGGCAAATGTGTTGCTGTGGCTAGTGAGCAAGTCCAGAACGTGGTACAAGCCTGGTAATACAGGCAAAGCAAGGGTCGTAACCAGGAGAGACACAGTCAAGGAGAATCTGGGAGATAGGCTGAGGGATCAGTCCGAGAACAAATCCAGGGAGAGAGACACAGTAAACAAAGCTGAGGGGGTGATCTGGGAACACAGTTTGGAATAAAGCAAAGGTTGAGAATCCAAGCAAAGCATAAATGGGGAAAAAAAAAAACTTGATGGTTCTATAACATCAGTTTTCTGGTTAGCGTGAATAAATATTTGTTTCTGTTGAGTGTAGTTTGTCAAATACTTCAGATGGGTAGTATTTTTCTTAGAGAACTTTTATTTCAATAGAAGAGTGATTTTATCAAAGAATACAAAGGAGGCAGTTATATTTAAGAAATACTGGCTTAAAGGTTGTAACACCCACATGAGTGAAAAACAATAATTATAAGATTTTTGTTCTTAAAAGTAAGATATTTTTCTAAATGGCAAATATATATCAAATATATATATATAGTGATAACCCAAGATGCTTGCTTAGGTATGCAAGTTTCTTAAAAGTAACAAGTTATCTCTGTTTAGCGGAAAAAGGCGAGCTTTGCTTTTAGCCACTCCTCCGTCAAGTCTTCAGCGTTCCGGGTCTCAAAGACCTGCACAGTGCAGACAGAGAGAGAGGTAAGTCTGAGCATTGGATTGTGTAAACCTTAGTGTCTCAGTGTCAGGGTTATTCAAAAGTATTATGTTGATTCAGCTTTCGTGAGACTGCTTTTTAAGAAAAACATTCTTCTGTAAGTATTTTTTATAGCCATGTGTCTTTCTGGGTGAATTTAAACAAGTTATACTCACAGTGCAGCACTGAACCTCTGTAGTAGAGGCTCCAGATGACAGATACTTTGTTCTGTTTTATCTTGGGGAAAGTTTTCTAGACTCATCTTTTAAGGATGTACTATAGATTGATTTTATTGTTTTGTATTGTAACCACATTATCAAATATTCTCAATTTAAGAACACAAGTCATTAGTAAACCTGTCTTATTTAGTTGTTAGTACTCAAAGGCTCTTTTGAAACCATTACACAGCTTAGTAGTTTGTTCCTCTTGCTTTGCTGTGGAAATGAACATGCCTTTGAATGAATCAAATTTATTCAGATCATGTTCTATGTATGTGTGTGCTGGAAAAACATGATGAGGAGGTGTTTGACAGACACCTGGTTATCCAAAATGCATCCGGTTGATTTATACTGTGCAAGGACACAGTTCAGAGACCTTGACAAGGCTTTGAATCGGCGATAAGGTTTGAGTGTCCCGCTGTGCGTCATTACCTTGGTGAGTTCCGCAGCTTGGACCAGCCTGTTCTTGCTTCCTGCGTACATCATCTGCTGCTCCGGCTTGCAGCCTGGTGTCAGAGAGCACATCATCACCACTGTGCTGACAGCTTCATGCCCACAGAATCCAGCAACATGTGCACCAGTGACTCTCGGCTGTGAAAGAGTGAGGCCTTCCTGTGATCAAGAAGCCGCGTTCGCTTTCGACTCAAAACAAGTGGCTCCGGATGTTTAAATCGGCAAGGCTGATGCCCGTGATTCCAAACAGCATTGCCTCCTTAGGACAAACTGTAACCCCTTTGCCGTATTCAATGGTCTGATTTTGCATCTGTATTTAACTCATGGATAGCTGTTTTGAGGTGCTCCTCAGAATTGGAAGCTACCGCCCCATTTGTAGCAGACAGTGGTAGTTCAGTTTAATTTTAATAAGCAGTGAGGGGGGAGCTGAAGCCGGCACAGAAAACACCCTGGACCCTCATGGGCTCTTAGTCTTTGGTATCAGCATGCCTTAGGTAAACATCTCAAGATGTTGCTTAATCTATGAGAAAAAAGGTGGTGTTTGATCTTAAGTATTTTTCCCATAGGGACTTTATTTTTTCCATATTAGTTTAATTTGGATTGCATTTGAACCCTGGTGCCAGACAACAGCTACCGTTGCACAATACTTACCCACAGGGCTGCAAAAAATGAAGCACAAAGGGTAGGACACCCTGCCGTCTTCGTGGACATACTTATAGCTGTAGACTATGAATGTGAAGCCAGTCAAGGAAGGACAACCTCAATGGCCTTGAAGGTCGTACAGGAAAAGAAAGGCGAACAGGTCTGTAACACAAACAGAACTCAGCCCAGCACTAGATACGCTGTTAAGTATAGTCTAAACCTTTCCAGGCAAACTGTACGTACGAAACCCTCAGAGAAGATGAATTGCGTATTGTATGTAGTTCATTAACTTGAGTCCTGGAGGTGGAACTCATTGTGAGGATCTGACAGACCACTGCAGGGCTGTCGGAGACTTTTTCAGATGTCATTTAATATGACACTGGAGTGAAAAAGTCACTGGACTGCTCCAGCCTGTTGCTCAGAACTACAACACTGCACAACCTGCCTGCTCTGCAGTGTTGGCCAACAAAAATCAATGTTGTGGTTACCGTGAGCCAAGTGCAGACGTTAAAATGGGACTTTATAAAATAACATTGGAATTCTCTGTTCATTTTGTTTTTGTAATCCCCTCCCATTTTATGACCGCTAAATGCCAGTTGGCGCAGCTTGGCAGGAGGGGGGGGCACTGGGTGCCCAGGTGGCTAGGATACTTCACTCAGAATGCTCCTGTAGATGCCCTGCTCTTGCTCTGCCACATAGCATGTCTTTGTAGATGCAAAGTTGGTCTCAATTAGCTTCTCTGTTTGATAAAAGATTACAAAATCGATTCCGCTGATCGATTCAGAAGGATATCTTGGTTGCCGTTCAGGAAGCTCATTCTTTAGATCGTCTAGGGAAATGTCCTGTGAAGGGGAGGAAAGAAATACAGACAGGTCTTGGTGTTGTTGTGCAATGCTGAGAAGGCAAATATAATGATCTGCAAAGCAACAAAAGAAGCAGTGCGTGCCGGTTTTTGTGATTGATTATACATTCTACATACAAATTTCCCCATTTTGCATGAAGAAAGGTCTTTGCAGCAGTAAGCAATGAGTGACTGAGTCCCTTCTGATATCCACATACTGTAGATTACAAAGGTGGTGTTCACTGCTTACATTTGTGCATTGACTCACATCAGACTTAATGGCTTCATATTGTTCATTGTGAAGAGCCATTGTTTTTATCCCTGCCTGTCTGTTTCATTCTGTCAGGACCAGGCACTATAATGTTTCACCTCATTGAGCTCCAGGAGGAGCTCCTACTAGGCCATTGATTATTTACAAAGGGCAGCTGTTCATTACCTTGGTAGGTTACGCTTTGCTGTACAATAGCATGACAGTATAGAGAGGTCAGAAATATCTTATACCTGTAACAGCTTTGAAATGGAAAACTGCATGCGTACAGCAGCAGTCTGGAAATCTATCAACTCATGTTAAATGCTACTTACTTCATATTCTTCCTCTAGGATCACTAGCTGCTTGTCCTTGTCGATTTTCACTAAAGAAAAAGGCATACTATCAGAAATTTTAAATAATTCAATCCTATTTCCTAAAATGATTCTAGACCAGGGGACACTAATGGTTTCTCTGTTGAAAGCTACATCAAAGTAAAAAAAGGCATCTCAACCTATTTGTAGCGAGATAATTTTTTCTAAGGGTACATGACATGAGTTATTTAGGTTTTGTAAGTGGAGCATTAGATATTCTTTAATGTTTAAGATGGTAAGCATACCATTATTTTCGTCAGTGGCTTGACACAGGGTACTCTCCATCAGTTTGATCTGGACGTCTTTTGTCTTTCATGGACCTGTCTCAGTGTTCGTGACAATTCAAATGGGTCACAGAAAAACAGAACTTTGGAATTTTGTCTGCTCCTAACAGATCAGCAAACAGATGGTGTCTGGAGTTTCTAAATGCCTGTAATATAGCTGAACGTCTGGTCGTCATTGGCAGATATTTATTTTTATATTTATTTATCTGTTTGATTGAAGAGTGTGTGGAAGCTCACAGTGCCTCATTAAATAAGAGTGAGATTAATTTATAAAATAATTATCTAGGATAACATGAACAGCTTTTTCAGAATCATTTTATAAGATGGCGAGTGAGTGGTTTCTCCCGAGCCGTGCTAGGTTTGATTTCACCAGACCTCTGTCTCTGAAGGGGGTCCAACCAATTGTGTGCCTCTTTGTCTTGTATGATGAGCATATTGAAATAAAACCTGTCCACTCCGACATCCTCAGTCTCCTGGCAGCTAGAGGGATGTGCAATCATTATGTATGAAATTATCAAGTTTATTTAAAAAACAAAGAGAAACTGAGCAATTTCGTCATGGTGGAGTATAGTACTGCAGCAAAAGCTAATCTGTGATGGGAGTTGATGACCCTGCTATCCTGCAGTCCACCAGGATGAATCAACATTATTTTGCTTCCTACATTTTATATTCCACACTTCCCATTACTGTGAAAACCAGCAGTCACAATTCTCATTAGGCCCAAGAAAAGGAGAAATATTCCCTCCATCTTTTTCGCAGTTTTTCGTAGCTTCCTGGTGCATTTTGGAAATACTTAACAGCTTTTTAACATTTTGCACCTGAATCGAATCTGTCTGAATTACCATGCACCTCCTGACTGCTGCCTGACCTTCTGAAATGAGATGAAATTCTCAAGGTTTATTTTTCCTGCTTAAGTGAAAAATTGAATCCTTTAACCAAGCTGGCGCTCTGTGCTCCCGGGCTGTGGGTCCAACAGGGACGCCAAGAGTGAGAGGAATGCTGCTGGTATCGTGTGCGAAAACTGGGAGCAGCATCCCCACTATACCGGAGCATTGGAGAATATCGTTTTCAGCTTCTAAAGCTCCATTCCCACCAGTCCCCCTGCGTCCGAACTGCTTGCTGTGATCCGTTGTGGTTCTCGGTTTAAGGATCGTCTGGCATCGTGGGTGGGCCTCACCGGGGGGGTGGGGGGGGTACGCCAACTAGTTCTGGCACTTACTGATGATGGCAGCATTGTTGGTTTCCTTGCGGAACCGGAACTTCTTCAGCTTTTCCTTCAGGCCCTCGTCCACCTCACACACCACCAGGGAGTCTGACTGTGGGAGACGAGAGAGGGGAAGAAATGAGACTTCTTTACGAGCTCAGAGCTAAGGTTCGGTACCTCCACAGGAGTGGCCTTTTACAGGAAAAAACGTGTCTAATAACCGTTTTAACTTCTGTCTTTTTATGTTTCATAAGAGCAGGGGCGGAGAGAACCTCAGATACTTGATGCTACTTTTTAGAACAGCAGTTGATCTTTATTTTTCTACTAGCTTGAAATATTGAGATAAAATGCAGCTGTCTGGCTCCAGGAACTTTTACTGGAAGTATTGTGTCCTGTGACCCACATCACAGTTTTGTTTTTACGTCTGAGGAAATGGTTTGCCCAGCAGTAACTTGATCATTTAGAACGGACTAAATGCTCTTAAAATTGTTGCTTTATTTTGTGAGAATTGGAGAAAAATGCAATTCTACATTTAGTTAAGGTCCTGTAAACATAAATTGATCTGATGATACAAATCTAGAAATAAAAGCTTTTCTATTATACATACTTAAGTACCGCTGTCTATCTGTACATCCAGATGAAAATGTTTTTCCAAACTTTTGTTTTACAAATTTTTTTGAATCAGATTAAAAAAGATTTCCTTGTAAATAGCATTTATGTCCGCGTATTAAATGCAGACTGTTCTGTTTTATGTCAAGTTGTGTCGATGATTCTGTAGAAAATAACCTTTATGTCCTGTGGAACCGGTAGTGTGAAAAAGCTCAGGAAGATGGAGCATGAAGATGTCGATTTTGGCGAGGTGTTGTGACTCATGCTCAACCCAGATCATATCCTGTGGTAGATGTGCTTTGGCTGTTAAGAAACTGAGAAATCGCTGCTCAGATGGCAAGCGACTGGGTGAGTGGTCTTTGCCTAGCGGGACAATACCTATTCTTTTTTGTCTTTTTGATTTTCACCATGCATGACATTTGCCTCATCACCTGTGCACAATCGACTCTCTAACAGATGAGATGACTAGTACTTATGCAACGAAATCACTTGTGCATATCGCGGTCAACCATGAATGATCAAGGAATTGTAAGGACGCTGAATGTAGATCTTTTTAACGTAATATACACGCACCATCCAATAGAGATGTGGGTTTGTTTTGATGCTACATGTTTATAGCTCTGTTGCATGCAGGATGACTTCTTGTTATATTACTTTTTGTTTCGGTGAGGCACTGCAAAAAATCGAAAGTTCTTTTCAGCATGAACGGCATCCTCTCTGTTCCATTGTGGTCGAGCAGTTTGCAGCACATTATCAGCCTTAGAGAACTCTGAAGTGACAGATTGAGGCCGTGTGGTTAGACTAGAAGAGAGCAGTCGTCCTGTGGCACTGTGTAAAGCCAGCCTTGCACATTTACAACAGGAGAAGCTGGGTGTCGAGGGGAGGCTAGTTGGAGCTTAAAATGAGCCACTCGTCCTGTAACGATGACCATGATCTGGATGAAACATACCATGTTTTAAGGCCTTGCGTTAGAAAAAGTCACTAAGCAAGTAAAATAAGTTCTCTTACCATTTTGTCGCAAAACAGGTCCGTTTCCTCTTTTCTGGTGCTTAAAGCAGTTTACTAGTTGTGACAAATTCACCTTCTTACGAATCCCTTGTGACAGGATGCAAGCCAGCTCTCTAAGTTCCTTTTCTAGTATAACTGCTGTTAAAAGGGGAGGGCCATAGGCTGACAGGAAATGTGCATCTGGAACCTGCTCTTATATATAATCAAATCAGATAACAGTGATGAAAACTCAAAATGGCACTCGACAAACTACTAGACATCTAGCCGTTTTGCAGGTTGCAAAACAAGCCCCAGCCTAATGATGTTTCACACGTGATCCAGCTTGTGCAGAAGAAGTATCAATGCAGGGTACAAAAGTGTCTCAAGAGTGTCTTCTCCCAAGATGGAGGCAGAGTGGATGAATTAACATGGAAACATGGTAGTCGTGCAGTGAATTGTAGTCATGCAGGGGATGTGGACATGTAGTGAATTGGACAAACTTCATGTACCCACAAACACAAAATTTGCCGTATTTCAACTGTGTAGTCAGAAATATAATTGACTAAACAGGTTGTGCTTTGTAGCACTTGGTGGTCATCAACAAGACAATAACATGCTGGTCAGGAGGTCATCTTAGTTTAAGAAGGAACTATTTCAGTGTCTTGTTGTTAGCATGATAGTTGCTGATTTTTTACTTTAATGTCCAAACACTTCTGGAAGAGCTGATGTTTTGCCACGCACCTTATGACCCGTTGAGGGTGTAAAAGTTATTACGGCAAGCTGGCTTGTGCAAGGCCCTTTTGGGAACAGTCCCACATAGTGGCCAAACCATGTGACCTGTCAGGCCTGTGACATTTCATGAGCTTTATCCAACAGTTTTGTCAGACAGGCAATTTTATAGACTGTTGGAACAGTTGGCATAATTATAACAATCTGAGCAGCAACAATGCCCTTTGATCATTTAGGCATTAATTAGCATGAAATTGCAAGTCTGCAGGGTGTTATTGTGATATTATACCTCTGATTATGTGATAGGCGATTTTGAATGACTTATTTTAGATGACAAATATGTCAAATAACTGGATGGCGGAAGAAAAGAGGGGTTTTGATCTTGAAGCCAGTGGTGATTGCAGGTCGTTTGCTCTTGCTTGGGCTTTACAGAAATTAAAGTGAACGAAAAAAAAGCTGGAAAGTTGCATTTGAAAATAATAAGAGATTGTTTCATTTTTATCTGCCTTGCTCATTTAATTTGTATGCTGTAACCTGTCATTATCCACGCTCTCCCAGGTAATTTTCAGTGTGGCTTTCGTGGAAAGGAGCGGTATTTGCCCTCCGAGTCCTCCATGGAAGCCCGTTATTTACAGACCGCCTGCCCACAAAGAGCCTCGTGGAGGGCTGTTATCGCTGGCTGTTGAGAACGTGGTTTCCTAACGAACCCTGTCTTGCCTTCCTCAGGATCTGACCTTGGAATTTATGGACCAAAACAAAGTTAAATATAGTTCCTCCCAGTCTATTTTGAGACATCCTTCTGATGTCAGGGAATGCCAGCTGAAGAAAAGCTGAAGAGGCTTGTTAGGGTGAGGGCAGACCCCTGTCTTGACTACACGAACTTCAGGGATTTTAAGAACTTGTGAGGCATGACCGTGGGTACTGGCATAGCAAGATCTTTTTATCCAGTTCAATGAAATGATTGACATTTTTTTTAAATTAGACATCATTTCTGGTTTTAGAAGATAAACGTGGTGGTACATCTTAGGATTGTCTGCCAGGACATGTCTTCTTTTAATTTTACTATTATTTGGTTTTCATTTTGTACCTATTACATTTTTAATCAGTAAAAGGATGTCGCCTCTGCTCCTGTGATGTAATTGTGTAATGTTCCTGACACATCTGGAAACTGCTGGGACATATAGCCATGATTCCTTGTGGAAAGAAACCACTGCTTATTTTCAGCCCAAATACATTCCCACTGGTTGTGCCCTTAGGTTCAATTTCATACAGTAATTTAGTCATTGACTTGACATCTCCTAAGCTTTTCAGGAACTGGAATCTTGCCCGTCATAACCACCTCTGTTCAGGACTAAAGAGATTCAGTTCCTGCAGCGTGCATGTGAGTTAGACCCTTTTAGACCAGGAACAGCTCAGGAATTCTTCCCAGAGCAGCAATAAACTTTTTGTCATATGCTGAACCATGTGCAATTTCCTACAATATTATAAAAAATAGTTGTAGAAATCACAAATTGTAATCATATCATGATTTCATATAGCTATATCCTATATCTGAGGTACCAGCTGAGTTAGACTGTTAGTTAGTCTGGACGGTTGTGTCTGTAAAAAACTTTGTGTTTTTATGTTTACGTATAACCTATGTTTTGCTTTAAGTAATTGAGCTATGGTGACAGAAGGTTAAGGTGAGGTTGCAACAACAACTGAGGGAAAAAAAGTCCAATCTAATAATAGCTTTCCAACAACTTGAAGGTTGCTAACTCAGCTAATGACTGCTTGATCTGTAATAACAGCATTAGCTTCATTATCATCCCCTGCATGTTCTTTTGAGGATGTTATGACTCAGTAGGGGATTGCTAAAAAACAGATTCTGTGGAAAGGTTTACTATAGTATAATTTAATCTACAACGATTAGATTGAATGTAGGAGAGGGTAGTAAAATCATGAAAAAGACATGGAAATGGGAATGGAAATTGTAGCTGGATTCCAGTGGGTTGGGCATGTGTGGTGGTTTAGGCTGTTCATCAGTTAACTGATATACCCTAATGATCGAGATAAGGTAGAAGGTAAACTCTTTGAAAGTGATGCCTAAAATAAACTTGACTCCGCTGGGAGAGGAGAGCTGGAAGATATGGATCTTGCCTATTCTATTAATTGGGACACTAGTAGATCTCCGTGTTGACCCGTTGAACGCTTTCTGCTGGAGCCTACAATAAGGAGAGCTTGGAAAATGACCATAAATGCCAATGAAGCAAGAGAGATGCACGAGGTAAGAAGAAAACCAAAACCATTGGATGGCAAAATAGTGGTAAACTGCCCTAATCCTACAGCAGTGCAGTGTGCCGTTTCAAACTCTGAAGTACCGCTCAGCTCAACCCGTCAAGACGTGGCTGCCTTCGTGGTAATGTTTAATTCATGTTTCCACAGCAGGCTATGGCAAACGGTATTAGATCTGAGTTTTTATCAGACCGAGACATTTCTTAAGCACACAGCCAGCCAAACTGGGGACTGCGATGAGTTGAACAGACGAGATATCAGTCAAACGGGCAACATCTGACGAGAGACCAGCCCCTTAAAGACACAGCACACCATTCGAGCTGGAGGAGTTCACGCTTGGGCTAATGATTAATGTTCAAGGCACAGTTGCCCCGGTTTGATTTAGATATGACACGGGAGCAAACAAAGTAAGATGTACTCATCCCTCCCCGAATAATATGTGGATCACCTATGCATCTGCAGTGATAAGGCACTTTTTAGTGTAAGCCGTAGTGACCACACACACACACGCTGCAGCGTGTTTTTTTTTTTACTTTGCCGTCAGTCACCGTGACGTTTTACCAACCAAAACCTTTAAAAATGTTAAGTCCCTCCATCACATTTTCGGTCACATCAATCGGATCACCCTTCACTCCGCCCGCCCTTCGTTGTCAATCTCTTCGAGCTGCTTCTCGTTCACGTCGATCATTCCACGACTGACCAATAGGAACGCTCTGTGAGGGGCACTTGTCCCGCCCCTCCGGGCGGGCCTATCCCCGTTGCCGTTACGCACGGGAGGCCCGTCTGCGTCTCGTGCGTCAGGTCTCAATCCGAGTTGATTTTTTTTTTAAAGCTTTCCGTGTGTGTTTGTGTATTTTTGTGTGTTTTTAATACTTCTTGTTCGTGGTGAATTTGTTTTTTAATATTTATTTTTAATATATGTCTATAAATATTCCGGAGAATATTATCTCACGGTAATAATTATATTAAAAAGAAACGAGGGAGGCTGACCTCTGGTGTGACAAAAAAAAAACGTACGTTTGCTAAAGGAAGCGATATAAAATATAAACAAATCAACCGGAGAGAGGTGCTGGAGTGTGCGTGTGTGTAAGAGGTGGGTGAAATAGAAGGACATTCACACACACACACACAGAGGGAGAGACACGGCCACGGAAAATACGGGCCAAAGCGGAGAAAAACCGCCGGAGGAACTTTGAACCGTGGAGAAGCCTTGGAGAATCAACACTACTGTGAGAAAAGAGGATACCCCGCCAACGGCACGGAGGGGAAAGGGGGAGGGGGGTGGGTGAAAGTATCCCGAGTCCTAACTCAATCCCTCCCATCAAGCACGGAGGAGACACACGAACCTCCAAGAGGGCCTGGAAGAGCGAGAGACCCCCCCCCTCCCCTCGACAGCCAGCCGTTTGCGGAGCCCCAGTCCGGCGCTGCCCGAGCCGCGACGCCGCGCCACGCCACGCCGAGGTCGGTGCCCTCTTTTCCGTCTCCCGTCTCCCGTCTCCTGCCTCGGCGTGCGGAGCCGCCGCCGCAGGGTTTCCACGTTTTTACACCAGACCCGTCTGTCCAGTCGGAAACGTTTTATTACTGTTTTTCTTGTGTGTGTGTGTGGTGGTGGGGGGTGTTGTTTTGGTTGTAAAATGTGGTCTTTATTGGAGATATGCAGACGTAGCTAGCCGAAGAAAGCCCCTGGAGCGGCGTGGAGTCGATAATGTATTAGAAATGTATGTATTTTTTTTTTTTACACTTGCATTTTCTGCGGAGGGCGGCTTTCTCATGATAAGTATCTGGCGCCCCCAGCTCCCCTCCGCCTTCCTCCTCCTCCTTCCCTCCCCCTCAAAAAAAAAAATCAAAATGGTTCTTATTAAACAGAGATGAAGGGGTATCGATGAGGGCTTGGACTTGGGTTGGATGTGCCAGGAAGAGAGAGGGAAGGAGGATGGAGCAGGGGGGTTCTCTTTTAGGAAGCCACTTTGGGGTTGAGAAGAGGATAGAAAGATGAATAAGTGGAAACAATGCATGGGGATCCTTTCCCAGCGTAACTATCAGTGATAAGAGAAACACTGACACTGACCAGGGGACATGCAGATTCTAGACACTCAGCCAGTTCGGGGGAAAGGTAGCTGACTAAAGAGATTAGCCCGTTGTGCTACACTGCATGTTTATAAAAAAGGGAGGGGTGCCTAGACAGTTCACACCGCGATCTTGCAACAGGACAAGAATGCACAGTATCCTTTCCCTTCGCCCTGCGTGAGGATGGGCTCTCAAGACCCATTTATGTCAGCGGCGAAGTTAAAGTAAGACTAGCTTTTTTTTTTTGTGTGTGTGTGTGCAAACGCGAAGTCTTGATCGCGCTACTGTATGCAGCCCTCGGCGCCTGTGAAATAACCACGCTTGATCAATCAGATTGTGGATTGCGGTATGGGACGGCGATCTTTTTAAATAACTGCATTAGCGAGCGTACCGGTGTTTCGCTCACTACTAGTGGGTTACTAATAAGAGTTTTTTTTAACAGTTCTTGTGAACATTTGCTTGATTTTCGCCTGCGGTAGAGCAGATAATGTGAGATGGAGTATCTTTTCCGAAGGGCCTCGAATGGGAGTGGAAGGCGGCACTGCATACCGTGGTTGTACAGTTAATGTATGTGCCCAACTGACGCTGATAACTATAGTATTAATCCTCAAGGAACTTGTAGTTTTATTTTGGCTGTTTCATCGGTGAGCATTTCTATATTACTGTATAGTATTCGTTATTTGCTTTGTCTTCTTAGTTACTTTGATTTTAAGTGTTGGTTGTCCTTTAAAAATCTCAGCAGTCCGTTTGTGATCAACACCAAGCACATTTCATCAGAGCAGGTTTAACCCAGTCAAATCATGATTCCTCAAAAGGGCAGAATAGGGTTTTCCTGGCATGCACTTGCAGGTGCTTTAATCTCAATTTGATAAACAGGGTGCACTGTGCACAGTTAGGTTTTCCACCTAACCCAGTGAAGCTGCTGTGTCTGCATAATCCACTTGTGCATTGTTTGTTGGATTATCATGAAGTGTATACAAAAAAGTCTTATTCCTGATGTTTGAAATCACTTGAGGCAGTATCAAGCTTTTGTACATTTATCCCAAGCATTATTGATTATTCAGTTTGGTGGTTAGAATGCTCTGAATAACAGTATATTTTGCATAATCATTTTAAAAGTAAATCCACCATTTCTTACAATTTTTTTAAATCAATTTTAAACTTATATGGCAAACACATCTGCCCTTAACAGTATGTTAAAAAAAATGTTTTTTTTGTTGTTCTATGCAACCAATTAGGGTGGGAGGTTTTGCTCAACATTTGTGAAATAAATAAAAAAAGGTTTTGTACTTGAACGAAAGGCTTTCAAAACCACCTTGTTAATGGGTCATTGCAACTTTCTGCTTTGTGAGCTGAAAAAAACAACTACAGAACAAGTAATAAAACCAGAAAATCTCATTACTTGTGCTTTTGTACAGATTGATGCTGATTTCAAAATGCTAAATTGGCAGCCTCTTGCTTACAATTTGCGTAACAGGACTGCTGATACTGGGGGACACACAGCAGGCCTGCCACTTGACTTTGGGTTGGTTTGTGTGCAACGGTCAGTGCTGAATTTTTAAAGTCATTTAATATTTTTGTAGAGTTCACTATTCCTGCCAATAGGAAAGTCAGTGGAGCATCTTCAAACTTGGAAAATATCTTTTCAACAGTTGGTGAGTCAAAGGATCCAGGATTTACCCTCTTTTACATTGTGCCACCATTGGGCCAAACTAATGAATGTGGGGTATTTTTCATGGTTCGTCCAGAGTGTCATAAAGACACAGAGGTTGTGACAATGAGTGACACTCTGCATATTCCAGGAAGTGGTCATGGGAACCCTCAATTTGCTTTTGTGTTGTGCATTTGGAAAGGCATAGCCCCTTCTGCTTCAGAAGCACAAATTGCTGTAAATTTAAGAATGGTGGGGTAGTTGACATTCGTAGAGAATAAAACTACACCTCTGTGGTTTTAAGCATTTGTGCTGATTTGTTTCACACAGTAAGGAATATAGAAATCATATCAGCTTGGTGGCTTTGAAGTTATTTCTTAAAGTTTCTGCAGATTATGTATGAAAGTGTTTTTAAATTTAAAGGCGTTTTCAGCTGTCCATACTGGACATGCTAAATTGGGAATTTATTTGTAAAGCAGTTCTTATTAATTGCCATTCTAAGGCATGCTCATGTTGTCAGCATATTTATCTGGAGTTTTTTTTTTTCTTTCAGTAGCCTGGCTTTACTTCTTTCAGGACCCGTCTCCAATAGAATGATTGCAAGTATTGTTACACTCATTCCTGCAAAGACAGATTTCAAGGGCCCTAAGTTGTTTAGACGTTCATGCATTCATTTTTCATGTTACCCTGTTTTTGTGCACAACTAAGGTGAAGTTTATTTATCAAAGTTTATTTATCAAACATCACACTTACACTTAAACATCACACTTACACTTTATATTTGTTTATATTAGATCTTGTAGAACTTTGAGCGAAAGAGTTAATTTTTAACTTTGGATTTGATACCTGTGCTTTTAAATAAAAAAAAATGAAGCATGAAGCTCAGAGAAAATTAATTTAATCTAATTTGCACTGTTTGAATTGCTCTTTTACAGTGCTTTCATGTTCATACTGTATTAATGTCAAGTCAACAGGTGTGTGAAGTTAAGTCTTCCTCTGGGATGATAATGATTTAATTGTCAAAATGCTGGTGTTGGCAGTCAGGTGTTCCAGTTGCTTAGCATTACGGATGGAGTTTATCTTGGATCATAATAAGATAAGCTGCCCTGAATAAAGGAGATGCATTTACCACACACTTAATATAGGGTCACCCCTTAATGGAGAGAATCAGCCAGTCAGAAAAGTTTTAGAGTTGTTTTATTTTGTGCCAGTCTGAGTTTCTGAAGTAATGTTTTTATTGGTTATACTGAATATGGTCTCCTCAGATTAGTGTTTATACCCAGATAGGAGATGTTCATTAAAGGATAGAAGACTTCTGTGCATCTGTGTTCACAAAAATAAATGTCCTTTTTCCAATTTGCTGACCATTCATCCACTGGGATAATGTTCTAGACATCAAGGACTGTAAACCAGAGTGCTTCAGGTCCACGGTTACATGAAAGTAATTTCCGTATTATGGTGGATAAAAACCTGAAGCTGAATGAAATCAGATGTACACGTTTGGATTCTTATGAGCAGTTTGCTGCAAGTAGAGAAGAATCTTTGATGCCTGTTAAATCGTAATAAATCTGTTAAATAAAGTAGTAAGTTTACACTTCCTAGTTAAATTAAGTTAGTCTTTCTTCTGAATAAGATAATTTAGTTGCATTTTTAAAACGTTAACTCCTGTGATTTCTTTGTTTTCCATTGGAATGATCTCGCCATCAGCTGGACAGTCCTGAGCAAGGGCATGGAGGGCTATGACAGTGGTGAGACAGCATACTTAATAAACGGGTTGGAATGAGTCAGACTCATGTCTCATGTAATGTGCATTAGACACAAGCCTGAACATTTCTAGGTTTCAGTGCAGATGTGCACAATGAAATACTGAAAAGACCCCACATGTTGTTAGCAGATGTCTTCGAAGAAGCTTTGTTTCAGCATCCTGTTGTGAATTTCCAGGCCTATGTATTCTGTGATTGATGAATACAGGAGTTGCTCTTAAAGTATGCATGGGTTTCCCTCAGTGGTGGTGCAGTGCAGATGGGGTGGGTGTCTTCTTGTAATTCATTTGTTTCAGTGTTTTAGCAAGCAAATCCAGCATCATGAATTCCATCCCTTTTTTAGTTAGTTGATCTGCAGTCAGAGAGCATTTTAGGAGATGATTAGACAGTGATGTTTTTAACTATCCTTAGCTTAAATCTGTTGTTATTAGGGGACAGGTTAATAAAAAAAAATAACCTGCCAAAACAAGTTTGGTAAAATGTTTTATTTGAAGGTGTTCTTTAAAAGATGTGATCCAGGCTTGTGTCCCAAAATTTTGAGATGCAAACACAAAAATGAACCTTTGCAGAGAATTTTGTGATTTTAGTTTCCATGTCCCTCTCACTGCACTGTTACATCTCCAAGACTGTGTGGTGGCTGAGAGCACATTGGGAAATTACTAATACTGGGTTCCACGTCTGGGGTAGTCCCAATAGAGTGCATATAAACCTGGTCTTTCTTTGGCCTCCAGGGGAGTAAGCCACTTCAATCATTGATTAGACTTAAAATGTTTGTTACCTGTTGCTTTTATCTTTGTAGTGAATTGCTCTATATAACTTGTGTATGTATTTATTTATTTTTTCTGAATATTCTTGTATTCTGTGACAACATGAGATTGGTCAGGTATGCAGCAGTTGAGTTCAAATTTGCCCAGACATGTTAATTTTGATGGCCAAGTTCCAGACTTGAGCGTCCCTGACCCAGCTCAGCAATCTTCTCT